AGCGTAGACTGTCTAGATGCTTCTTCAAGCTTACTGAAATTAGCTCATTTTTATATCAATTATCTTTTGTATCTAATCATCCATATAAGTTCATTGCTTCGTCTTTTGATGTTCCATTTTACTCCATTTTCGATAACTAATTTGGTTTGTTTTATTGGAGAATTATATCAAATGATAATTCTCTTTCATACATAACAATTAAACTGGCATTACGTGATTCATAGTTTCTTTATTCTCATCATGGCTGTTTTTTCCGTTAATTAGAATGGTTTTCATCCTAGCTTGGATGAAAATTGATAAAAACTTAGTCACCTAGGTAGTTTAGGGTGATTTAAACAGTAATAGTTCGGATTTTCCAGTATCATATGTGCTTTCCTCTCGATTCCGACAGGCCATTGATATACTGACTGAGAGGAATCTAATGAACAGGAGACTTGAAGAAAGCAGGATCAGTGAAAACTTTGCATATTGCCTAAACAAACTAGGATAAGATCAGGCAACAGAAAGATCAGTAAAAAGAAGACGACTGGAACAAGATAATATCCTTAATTTTAGGAAAAGAGATCGCAGGGGACGAGACAGGAATAATCAGAAGGAAAGAGGAGACTTCTTCAGTGAGCCTTATCATAACAAGTAGAACCACGGCATTTGTGGGTTGACACACAAGAGACTAGGACGTAGGAAGTGATAGTCATGGTATTAAAGATAGAAACGGGAAAGACGTGGTGGAGACTAAAGCTATTTGGCTAACAATAGACGTGTTTGATAATAAACGTTATCCTTAAATCACGGCTATTGTTAACCAACCAACTCTAGCTTCCACTATTTGTATCTTCTATATATAATACCAAGCTTATTACTTCCTATGCCCTAGTCTCTTGTCTGCCAGCCCACAAATGTTGTGGTTCAACATTGAACCAAATCAAAACAAGCTGTACCACAACATTTGTGGGTTGGCACACAGGAAATTAGAGCATGGCAAATCATAGACTCTGTATTAGGGATAGACACGGGATAGAGACGACGGGAACCGGATCTAGTTGGCTGACGGTAGGTCTGTTGTACCAGAGACGTGGTACATGTAGCAAATAGGTGACCATGACGCTCAGAGGCTTGCGCCTTGAATTAGTCACCCAGATTGTTGGGATTACTTCCATTTCGAGTAGAAGTGTTGAGTGAAGAGATTCGAAGGTTGGTTCCACCAGAAGACGACGGCGAATTCCTCTTGACCAGCTGTCGATTGGC